TCCAGCTCAGGGTGTTTTTGCTGATTCTTGAAAATGTTTTGTAAAACACACTTGTTAAGTCAAAGTTATGGTGGATTTGGCTTAGTCCAGTAACTGCTGTGGCAACATCGATATCTCTTAAATTATTCATCTTTGCAATAGAAAATTCCCCTCCTGGAAACCTTGGGATTGAATTAGAGCCGAGCTTCTTCAAGCCTACATTTATTGTAAAAGTAAACTCACACAATAAGCTTTGCCCTTTCCAAGATGCTCGGTAAACAGGAATGAAATCTCCATGGTTAGGAAATACCTAAATATTTCTATGTGAAATCAAAATGTTTTCTGACCTCTTTGAAGGGTCCTTTCAATGAGCTGTTTCCCAAATGCTTGTTTGCAATTTGGCTGAACCTCATCAGGGACCCTCGAGGGAGGCTGTTTCTCATGGTTGGGGTCAGGAGGAGGGGCTGTGCTTGTGATGTATTTGGTGATGTGTTGGTGCCAGGGAGCTTTTTGACCCTCAGACTCTTTTCTGGCGCCCCCAAAGCCCCCCACCCTCCCAAGGCTTCCTGGAGAGCTTGCTTCTACTTGTTTGTCCTCATGTACATCCCATCTCACAGTCTGTTTGGGTTTTGACAGCTTAATGCGGACTTTCAGGGTATTTCTGATTTGGAGGAGGGGGCATTTTTATATCCCTGAACTTGACAAGTCCATGACCCGTTCTTAAGCGCAGAGGGACTGTGTGATTGCAAGGTCTGGGCAGTGGGCTGAGAACAGACTGCAGGGGGCTGGGCAGCTGCGGGGTGTGGACAGGCCTGGGACCAGCTGGCCAGGCGGCCGTGTGGAAGCTCCGAGGAATTCACTGTCCAAACCCAGCTTTTGTGCTTTTACCTTGAATGCTCGAATCAAGGGCTACAAAGCCTCAAAACAGGAAGATGAAGCTCTGCTTTCCAAGAAGGCAGCTGTCTATGGTGCTTTCTTTACTGTTTGTTTGTAGGGTTCACCCCCCACTGCTCTGGGTTCTCAGCTAATGAAGAATCAGGACAACCTCAGATGGGTTTGCGGAGGAAAGAGATGAACTTAGCAACATGCACACAAGAGGTGGGGGGGATGTTTCATTCTGGGAGAGCAGGAAATCTTACACCAGGGGTGAGGCAGGAGGCCTGAGGCTCTGAGGAGACAGTGGGGGGGATAGGCCATGTTCGCTGTCGGGAACCCCAGCTTCCTTCTTCTAGATCATAAAAGAGAGCCATGGCCACTTTCTCCACTGGGGTGGAGCAAGGGGTCAGGTGAAAGGTGAGAGCTGCTCCTGTGCCCCCAGGGACATTCTTTGTTCTCAGCCCCAAATAATCTGCAGGCCAGAGTGGAGGAATGCACCCCAGGAATCAATAAGAGCTGATCCCTCCGTCTTCACTGCACACCCCCTATATCTTGGGAGTCCGGGAGGTTTGTGAAACATCCCCCAAAAGATTATTGAGTTATTGATGTTGGTTTGGAAGGCTGTTGGGTTCAGAGAGCAGGGTCCTTGGGTTCCCACTTAGAAAAGTTTTCCCAGAGCTCCCTTTTCAGCAGCACATGGCGAGTATCCCCATGAGGGAGATGTTTAATTATATTCAAAAGGGCAGGTTAATTATAAAAATGGAAAGAAAGACAAGGACTCCCGCACAGACAAGCAGGCAGAAAACTGCCCCAAAAGGGACAGGTTTGCTAAAAGGGGGGGCGCATGTGATCCCAGGTGGCAGCCACAGAAGGGGAGAAGGTAGGTGAGGAGATGCACCCGTGGCACACTAAGAGCGTGGTCTGCTCTTGGTAGAGTTAACTGGGGTTGGAGAAATTGCTTCGAAGGTGTGATTTGTAAGAACTGGAAAGCTCTACAATGTCCTCCATCTCCAACCCCACCGACCTCTGGTCTGCGCCTCCAGACCCTTCCTGCAGCCTCTCACGGTCCTGCAGCAGTTGGGCCTACGTGTTTTCATTTCTATAGCTGGTTAAAAAACTGTGTTCTTTTCTTTTCTTTAAGATTTATTTATTTATGCATACAGAACTGGGGTACAGACCAGGGGTGCAGGGGTGGTGAGAGGCTTCACCAGAGACAGAGTGGGGAGCAGAACAGGCAGATCGATGAGGTACACTGCTGAGGGGAGCAGCGGGCGGGTCAGGAGAGGTCTGCTGCGCCATGTGGTCACCTCCGGGGCAGGCGGGGATTGAACTCATGCGGAATTGGCTTAAGCTTCTTAGTGCTGTGCTTTAATCCCCTGTGCCACCAGGGAGGGCCAACAGCTATGTTCTTTTGTACCCCACCTCTGGTTTCTGGTCTTGTGATGTTTCCTTCCCAAATCTTCTACTCTAAGCCTCAATCACTTGTGACCTTGAGATGCCCTCTCTCTCCTTGGTAATGCTTAGCTGTGAGCTTTCCAGAAGCCTCACAGGGGCTGCATGAATGGGCAGACCCAGGAACCCCTGGGAACTCTTCTCCTTCCGCCCAATCTGCGGCCCTAGGATTTCCATCCCTCGGGGACTGGGAGCGTGGCCAGCGCCGGGGGCCCTCCTGAATCTCTGTACTTGAAGATGAACCAGACTCCCAGTTTCCTGACTTCCTCTTCTGACCGTCTCCCTGCAGCCTCCAGAGCCATGTGCAAAATTAGAACTTTCCGACCTTGGGGGACTGGGACAGCATCTGAATCGATCCTACCCCTGGTCAGTGGAGAGGAGCCTTGCCTTGCTCCAACCTTTTCCTGAAAGCACCAGTTCTGAAGGCCTTTGGAGCAGGAAAGGGAAGCTTACTTGGTCAGATAAATTCAGGGGCTTACATGGCCACATGAACTTGGCAAAGTCTGGGTTAAGCAAAGATGAGGGGTAAATAGCTGCAACTTCTCTTCATTGACCTTTTAATAAAAACCTATCTGTCCCCACGTTAAACTCTTTATTTTCGGATTATAGAACAGATAGGGAGGGCCAAGCCCGTGTTTGGTCCTCA